GAATAGGTATCAGATAATTGTAGGCCGATTTTCACGAGTTACACGAATTAATTATATCATACTCTTTCTTCACATTATTTTTTTTCCAGTAAAATGGAATTATAATGACATAATGATGTTTAGCCGATTATTTAGTGTCAAATGAAAGCGCATACGTAAAAGTGTTGCAATCAGAAAAGTCTAAGGCGGTGGCGACGCTTGGAACTCCGGGACGGCCGGTGACACGGGCGATATCCCAGCCTGTGTATATATCCATTCGTTGCGAGTTAATTTTGGAGATATAGACTTGTAACTGCTCATGTATTATCATCGAACCCTAAACATACTTGTATGATGAATATGTCAAAATCGAATCATCTACTTTATTTTATGGGAAAGAAATTTGGAAAGTCGCGTAAGAATTTTTTATTTTTCTTCGTTTTTCATATCATAAATCTTTCACTTTAGGATAAAACTATTATAATAAGACACTTTTATCTTCCTGTGATCCATTTCTATAGGTAATGTCAAAGTACATTTGCATCAATATTAGCTCTTGTGAAGCTAGAGTGCGGAAGGGTGAAAATCGCTTACACAGTGGCAGTGGGACGGGGTTCTGGCCTCGCGCGCTGCCCAAATTTTTCGCCGCGGAAGTTCATATTCACGTGGGTAATTCCAAGGTCTATATAAGTATGGTTCTCGTCACTTCGGAGTTCTGCGCAGCTTTGGGTGATAAGGCCTATGACGTCACTTGGAGAGAGCTGAGAGCAAGGGGGGCGGGGGGAATTAGAGCATGGTAGGGTGGAAGGGAGATAATAGAAAACGATGGTAAGTGAGCTGATACTTAAGTAATTTTAGATGTCGGCACGTTGAACGATTTGCATATTGGACGGATTTTACAGGTGATGATTATCAGCAATTGTTTATAGGCCTATATCACATTTAGTTTTGTAATTTTCATATTGCAGCTTAGACATGGCTTAAAAAAATGTAAAAAAAAAAAAAAAAAAAAAGACATGGCATATGTAAACTCCAAATGTTTTTTGACGAATTTATTATAAAACAAATCATACAACAATAACAATAATAATGTTAATAATAATAATAATGGCAATACATAAACATAATAATAACATAAATGTACATATATAAGCGGCAACCAATCACTGGGTATTGTGGCTTTGCGCGCTGGTCAGTCAAGCGAGCGAAAACGGAGAGAGGGAGAGATCTTTAAGGCTCTACCTCACATCAAAGAATGACCACACGATTAGCATCGAACCCCCAGGCTCTGTCTCCAGATGACGTCATGCGCGAGATGGACGAATTTGAGTCGCTTAGTGACAAGACCTGTACTTGTATAGACCTTGGGTAATCCAAGGTCTACATAAGTATACGTCTCGTCACTTCGGAGTAATGCGCTGCTTTGGGTGATAAGGCCTATGACGTCATTAGGCGAGAGCTGAGAGCAAGGGGGGCGGGAGAATTAGAGCATGGTAGGGTGGGAGGGAGATAATAGAAAACGGTGGTAAATGAGCAGATAATTAAGTAATTTTAGATGTTGGCACTTTGAACAATTTGCATATTGGACAGATTTTACAGGCAATGATTATCAGCGATTGTTTATAGGCCTATATCACATATTCTACGTGAATTTAGTTTTGTGATTTTCATGTTGCAGCTTAGACATGGCATAATAAAGACGTAAAATAAATAAAAAAAGATATGGCATATGTAAACTCCAAATGTTTTTGATGAATTTATTATAAAACGAATCATACAACAATAACAATAATAATGTTAATAATAATAATAATGGCAATACATAAACATGATAATAACATAAATGTACATATATAAACTGCAACCAACCACTTAGTATTGTGGCTTTGCGCGCGCCAGTCAAGCGAGAGAAAACGGAGAGAGGGAGAGATCCTTATGGCTCTACCTCACATCAAAGAATGACCTCACGATTAGTGTCGAACCCCCAGGCTCTGCCTCCAGATGACGTCATGCGCGAGACGGACGAATTTGAGTCGCTTAGTGACGAGACCTTTACTTATATAGACCTTGATTCCAAGGTCTATATAAGTATAGGTCTCGTCACTACGGAGTTCTGCGCAGCTTTGGGTGATAAGGCCTATGACGTCACTAGGCGAGAGCTGAGAGCAGGGGGGGGGGGGGATTAGCACATGGTAGGGTGGGAGGGAGATAATAGAAAACAGTGGTAAATGAGCTGATACTTAAGTAATTTTAGATGTCGGCACGTTGAACGATTTGCATATTGGACAGATTTTACAGGCGATGATTATCAGCGATTGTTTATAGGCCTATATCACATATTCTACGTGAATTTAGTTTTGTAATTTTCATGTTGCAGCTTAGACATGGCATAATAAAGACGTAAAATGAATAAAAAAAGACATGGCATATGTAAACTCTAAATGTTTTTGATGAATTTATTATAAAACGAATCCTACAACAATAACAATAATAATGTTAATAATAATAATAATAATAATAA